AATATCTTTCGAAAAAATTAAAAACGTAAAAGAAAGAAGAATGCAAAATGAAGACCTGACCTAATGGGTTGACCTCCACTACACAATTGGTAGAAAACAGGAAAAAATCTCTAATTGTTAACTTTCTTACTGTTTAAGATCCAGATGTTGGTTGCTTTGATATGAAATGATTAATGAAGGGGGATGAGCTATACGAGCCTAATAAAAATATCAATATTTTACTACCGATACGGAAAACTAAATGTTGATAAAAATCGCAAAATAACTAATAAAACTATTTTTCTTTTTAAATAAATTTATTTAACTTGAAAACATTAATTTTGTACTCACCTTTTAAGTTCTCAAATACTCCGTATGAAGGAAAAAATCAATATAACAATACATTATATACTCTAAAAGACCAACAATAATCAAACTTACCTTTTTACTTATTTACCGATGCCGCTGGGGGTCTGGAGGGGTTCTTGCTACACGTGAATCCAATTGTCATTCTATTAATCAACCGGTCGTTCTCATATCCCGTCCAGTAATGGGCGCCAAATTTACCACCATCTCAATATCTTGTCTAGTATGAACGTGAACAAACACTTCCCAACCTCTTTTTGGTATGGGACTTCTCAACCTCATTCGATTGAAGATAACATTCACGGTAGAGTTTGCCCTATATATCGGGTCCGTACATCTTTTTTTATGACACCCAGTAAGCCTTTTAGTTTAATAATATTAACTAAACACATACATGTCCACATCATCATTTAGCCACCAATTATGTATAACAATTTTATTTCATAATTATAAGATAATAGGACGATAATTAAATAGTCAATATAATTTAATACTCGGTAATTAAAGAAGACACAATCAAGACATTCATTCAACTTGTTGACTAATAGGATAAAATGAATCAAAGTGCATGTAGTAGCGGTAGGCAAACAAAACAGTATAAAAAGTAGTACAGATAAACTAGTACAATCATACACTGACCACTTACCGGCTCTACAATAACCTATATTAATTAATCAGGGATTGCTAGTATTTTAAAATTTTTACTGTTTATTATTTATTGGATTTTAATTAACCGTAATGGGAAAAAGGATGAGAGATTCTTACCCCAAGTTAGTGTTCAAAACACTGCTTTTTTTACTGCAATTCATGACAGTTTTCGGTTCCTGAATTTCTTAAATTTTTTTACGAAAACTAAAAACACGCGTCAAATATCCTAAAATACTCAAAAAACAGCCAATATGGTTTTAAATTTTCCCAAGGCCGGTTTAGGATTTCGACTCGGCGGCGCCGCAGTGCTCCAGCACCGGCTCCGCCGCCTACGGCGGTGCCTCCTCTCAGTCTAGCCGGTTTCAGCCAGTCCTGTGCAAAAACTTGCAAAATTTAAGGTTATGTGGCATCTGTTGGCGGAAAAAGGGAAAACAAGTCGAGACTTACTAGCGGGTAGGGTTTCCGATGTGGCGACTCATGTCGTTCCTCTCTAGAGGTCGGGATTTTTCTTCGATTGTACTACACTAGAAATAAGTGAGTGATTCAATGGTCAGAAAATAGAAGGGAACGAAAAGGGGATTCGAGCTCATCGAAAGGATTTTGGGTTTCGGATACGACGGCTCGACCGAGCTCTACCATCTGTTTTTGGCTTCTTCTTTGGTTTTTCGGTGCCGATAAGGGTTTAAGGTGGCTTAGAATTGAAATACGAATCAAAAGAGAAGAAAAAAAACTCACCTTTTAGCGTCAACGAGGGTTCCGATGCGGCAGTGATGATGGTCGGCTTCTCTTCTAGCCGCTCTTTTTCTTCTTCTTCAGCGAGATGGTTGCAGCTAAGGTTAGGGCTTCGGTGGAAGATGAGTTTAAATGTTCCTCATTCCTTCAATCCGGGCCATCCGTTCGAGGATGCGCGACCCAATCTCCACCGTTAGATCCATCTTATTTGGAAAATAAATTAGGACCGCATGATCAAATGCATCAGGACCGTTCAATCGCACGTAAAAGGGAAACGAATCTGGGTTGTTCATGTACGCAGGAGTAAATTTGGATTTTTGGATCAATTGGCACGTGGATAGCCCGGGTGGTTTCCTGCGTGGGAGTGTATTCGCGTGCCTGCCACGCAGCGCACGAAACTGGCCGCGCTGCTGACGTGGCAGTCCTATGTGGCTACTTTTATACTTTTTTTATTTTTGTCCTAGTTTTTTAATTTTTTTTAATATAGACCATTTTTTATTTTTAATTTAGGCATGATTTTTAAAAATTATTTTCAAATATACAAAAAATATATATTTTTTTTAAAACTTTTAAGAAGAAATTAAAAATTTTAAATTTTAAATTTATTATTAATATAATTTTAATTATCCCAAACATAAATCGCGAGTTTGGGTGCTACATATACATTATAATTAAATATGTATGTTGACATTCGTGATCTATCATTAGAGTTCCTATATGACTACATGAATTATAACAGCGACCCAAAACAAATGTTAATCTTTAGATAATATTGTTGTATATGGAAAGAGTTATAAACCAGATTATAACATTCACAAAAAGGAATGTCAAACAAAGAGTAAAGTTGATAGGAACATTAATATTAATATTCACAAACAAAACAACACTCTCAATCAATGACCAGATCATATCATTTACGAAACAGAGTGTCAAGCCAAGAGCAAAATTGATACAAAAATTAATGTTCGTATTCACAAACCAAACAACATTCTCAGTTAATATTGAATTTAATCGGGTGGGTCACCTATAATGGTTTGGACGTGAAACCCTTTATCGATAGGTGGCGCGCCACTTGAAGCTAAAAAGTGTGTCGTGACGGGTAAACCTGTCCGGAAGAGAAGAGGAGTTAGCCATTGAATCCAAAAATCGGAACCAGCTAAAGGCATCCAGCTTAAAGATGAAATCCAGCCAAGGGCGAGGCAGGAAAGCAACAAAGCCATTTCCTGGGCGT